AGAACGGATCGATCTATTCAGAAGCGACACTTCGGAATTTTGAGCGAGACACGGTGGATAACTTTGTCGAAAAGGTCATTAACGCTTTGGAAGACGATGAACCCCTTCGACATGAGTTTGGAATCCAAGGCCGAGTCACCTTCTACGATCGCGCAAACCCATGGGAAACCTTGCTGGAGAACAGCCTGGAGCAAATGAACCTTCAGGACGCGCGGACACCCCAACGACCGGCGAACACTAGGCATGGAGGGTGCAGAGGAGGGGGAAGAGGCGGGGGAAGAGGCGGGGGAAGAGGAGCGGCGCAGAGACAGAAGAGGGATGGCACTGCACGAAGACGCAATCGGCGTGCGGACCAGTTCTGCGTGCACCTAGTGGCTGATGAACAACAAATACCAGTGTATGCAGTGGAGTTCAAAGCGCCGCACAAGGTGACAATCCCCGAATTAGTGGCGGGTCTACACCAGATGGATCTGGCTCGCGATGTCATCGACCAAGAAGGTGACACATTTGAATTTTATGCCACCCGTCTTGTCGCCGCCGTGGTCACTCAAATATTCTCATACATGATCGATAGTGGAGTTCGATACGGCTACATCTGCACAGGGGAGGCCTTTGTTTTCCTGCATATCCCGGAAGATGACCCCACGATTGTTCAATATTTCTTGTGTATCCCGAATAAAGACGTGCGGCCGGACGATGAATTGCGCCTCCACCGGACCGCCATCGGCCAGGTGCTTGCGTTCACCCTTCAAGCGCTGGCCGCAGAAACTCCCCGTCAAGAGTGGTACGACATGGCACACAACAAGCTAACGACCTGGGAGGTTGAATACCTCGACGTGTTGAAGGAAATTCCCGAAACTCTACGTAAAGACCCGAGGTCCTCTAATTATCGGCCCTCGCATTGGAAACGAGATCGGAAAGTACACAACACACGCTCTCGCGCCCGCTGTCAGCCAGATTCATCTACACCAAAGCACTCGTCGCCCGAAGGCAGTGACAGTGATCAAGAATCGCAATCGCCATCCGCCGCAGCAGCGTCGCGTAGCCGATTAAGCCGCAGCCGAGGTAACAACCGTCAATCAACGAAGGGAAGCGAAAGGGCACGAGCCGGCCGGGACAAAAAACAGACTTCTCAAAAAGACGGGCATTCTACTCGACCATACTGCACCATTGCCTGCATCCGTGGCATGGTCAACCGTGAACCTCTGGATAAAAAATGCCCCAACTGGAAACTCCACGGTGGTCAGAGACATTCTATGGGACCGCAAGAGTTCACACGCCAGCTTCACTGTCAACTTGTCCGAAACCGAGACCTGGGCTTCGAGCAATTGCACATCTGTGGTCGGACAGGCTATCTCATGAAAGCTACCCTTCTATCACACGGATACACTGTGATCATTAAAGCTACCACAGTGGAGAAGGAGCATCGCCTTCAAACGGAGGTGAACAATTATCGTTACCTCAGGAGCTTGCAAGGGCATCAGATTCCCGTCTATCTTGGAGTCTTTCAGCCACGGGTCGCGTATTGGTACCATGGTGAATTAATGTCGCAGATGATGATTCTGAGCTGGTCTGGAACGCGGCTTCAGCATGTTATCAACGATGAGAATTCTAGCTTCTTTTACCAAGAGCGCGACAAAGCTCTGGCCGTATTCCGATCGCACGGAGCTGTCCACAGCGACGGCGAGTGGCGCAATATGCTATGGGATGATCTGGGTGGCCGTTTGATTGTCATTGACTTGGAGGACATGAGATGGTTGAAGCGTCCTCGAACTCTAGAACCAATATCTGGAAACACGTGGCGTGCTCATCGCGTTGGGACGGAGGAAAAGCAAGCAAAGCCTCCTGTCCAACTCAACTGTCTGCTTATGACGGTCCACGAATCCATAGGTCGACTGCGTTAGGTGACTCGGTTGGTATCTGCCCCACCAGATCATGGAGTTGACGGGAAATTTTTTATTTTTCTTCCATTTCGGCGCTACCACTGAATGGGCCGCTGTGGGATTAGCGCCGAAAACCCTTTGGATCGGCCGGGGAGGACAATATCTACTATAATTTAACAATCGCCAAGATACTCTTAAAAACCGCGTCACTCAACTGACCAAGCACCCTCTGCCACTCCTGGCTAGTGAAATTCCCTGTCCGCTCCTAGTCAGACCTAAATTGACAAGAACTCTGTAGAATGGTGGTAAATTTTCTAGAGATTTGACACTGAAGTGACTCATGATTAGACTGACCGTGTGACCGTGTCTGGGACCAGGACCAGAATATTTGACGGTCTCATTACCAATTTGACTGATCTCATTACACAGTTTTAAGATTAGATAGTAGTCTCATACTGTCTTAGTAAGACTTACTGTCTACTCTTATCACATTTTTCAAATGAGATCATAATTTTCACTTCTTAATTTAAATTATTTTTATTTCTTTAAATAACTTTAAATCTTATTTAAGTGTTATTAAAAAGTGTTACTCTTTAAAAAATTAAAAATAGTCTGAAAAAAAACCTTAAAATGTCTAAAAATAATGAGATTAAATAAAATTAAATAAAATCACTTTCTTATTTTTTCTAAGTTATGATCTCATTTTAAGATCTGATAAATAGTCACTTTACATGTTTTTTTAATAATTAGTCTCAGTAGAATTTATATTAAGAAATGTATGAGATCAGATTAAATAAGACTAAATATGAAATTTATAATCTCAATAGTCAGTTTACTTATAATTAACTTTATTTACAGCTTACTGATAAAAGTTATAATATTCAATATTATCTTTAAATTAAGTATTTCAATCTAACTTTTTAAGTATCTATTGACTTAACTTATAAGTTATTAGTAATAATAAATGAATAGACTAATTATATAACTGTGTCTAAGATCAGAATCAGAATATTTAACTAATCTTATTACATAATTTTAAGCTTGAATAGTAGTCTTATACTGTCTCAGTGAGACTTACTGTCTACTCTTATTACATTTTTCAAATAAGATTATGATTTTCACTTCTTAATTTAAATTATTTTTATTGCTTTAAATGGAATTTAA